GAGTAACATTGATCCCAAGGAAATGATGAAGGGTACCTAAATCTGACATAGCAAACTCACGAGATAAAAGAGCAATTATACCAGTGAGAAGACGGTCATTAGAGGCCGTGAGAACGATATCGTCAACATACAGCAGCAAGTAGTCCATGTCACTTCTCTTTTTGTAGACAAATAGGGAAGTATCACTAACGGTACTCCGAAAACCACACTTAGTGATATAGGTGGCAAATCTGTCATACCACGCGCGAGGGGCCTGTTTGAGCCCATAAAGAGACTTGCGTAACCTGCATACATAATTAGGGTGAGTGGCATCGGTGAATCCCGAAGGTTGAAACATATATACCGTCTCATTTAAGTCCCTGTGGAGAAAAGCATTTTTAATGTCGAGTTGGTGAATGGACCAACCCCGGGAAATATCGAGACTGAGCACCGTTCGAATTGTGGTCGGTTTGACTACGGGACTAAATGTTTCATCACAATCGATGCCGACCTGTTGACATTTCCCGTTAACGACCAATCGGGCCTTGTAGCGTTGTAAGGTGCCATTTGCGTTAAACTTGTGGCAAAATAACCATGTGCACCAGATAATGTTCGCATCAGGGGGCCGAGGTACCAAGTCCCACGTGGATCGGAAAGGGCTTTGATGTGGGAATTTGGTATGGGAGAAGGTGAAGTATGTGTATCTATATGTAGGTTAAAAGAAGAGGCAAAAGTTGCTGCTCGGGAACGAGTGATCATGGGGTGGGTTGATGCGGGTGGTGGCGGCGGTGGAGGTGGTGAAGGGGGTGACGGTGGTGGTGGTGGTGCAGCGGTTGAAGAGGGCTGCGAGGAGGTTGTCGGGACATGTGTATTTCGACGGTGGTAGGTATGGATGATAGGAGGTTGTTGAGAGTGGGAGATGGGGAAGTGTGTTGGGTAGGTGGTGGGGAAGTGGCTGCTGGGTCAAAGATGGTAGGAGATGGATCAGATTCGAGGAAGGAGTAGTCARATGGAGTAGTGGGATGTTTATCAAAAAAAGGAAAAGAGGTATCGTCGAAAATGACRTGAYGAGAGAGGAGGATCTTGCCAGAAGAGAGGTCAAGGCATCGATACCCACGAAAGTTGGCGGGGTATCCAAGGAAAACACAACGAGTGGAGCGATGTTCCAACTTGTGTTTCCGAGTAGCGGTCGTGTTAGGATAACAGGCACACCCGAAAACCCGAAGGTGATCATAGGAAGGGTGTCGATGATAGAGGGCAGTCAAAGGGGTGGTGAATATTAAGAGTTTGGTGGGGAGAATGTTGTGGAGATAGCACGCAGTATGTAAGGCTTTAACCCAGAAATGGGGTGGGAGAGATGCGTGTGTGAGAAGGGTGCGCATGATCTCGTTAAGTCTACGAATCATACGTTCAGATTTCCCATTCTGTTGGGAAGTGTGAGGGCAAGAGAAACGGAAATGAAGGCCGTTTGTTTCAGCAAAAGATTTGAAATTTTGGTTATTGAATTCACCCCTAAGTCACATTGGAAAGCTTTAATTTTGAGATTGAATTGGGTTTGGATGTATTTATGAAACTGAGAAAATTTGGAAAAAGTTTCAGACTTGAATTTGAGAGGAAAAACCCAAGTATATTGCGTGAAATCGTCAATTAAAACCATGTAGTATTTATAACCTGCTTTGTTGGGGATAGGAGATGTCCATAAGTCGCAATGCACAATATCAAAGGGTAAAATAGTAATAGACGTAGAATTAGAAAACGGTAATCGTTTGTGCTTTGAAAGTTGACAAGAATTGCAAACAAAAGATTTACTACGTTTAGAACATGGAATAATGTTATTCGAACTAAGAACATCTAAGACATGAGCACCGGGATGTCCCAAGCTATCATGCCAAAAATCTCGAGCACTGGAGGTGAAAAAGGTGGTGTCGGTGACCGGATACAAGAGAGGATAAAGACGACTGGAGCTATTGTCACGGGACAACATCTGACCACTCTGGTAATCCTTCGCAGAAAACCCGTTAGGATCAAATTCAAAGGACACATTATTATCAACTGAAAATTTACGAACGGAAATGAGGTTCTTAATGATGTTGGGAGTGTAAAGAATGTTGTTTAGGTGAAGGTTACGTGTGGGCGTGGGAATGATGGAGGAACCCGATCCACGAACCGGCATAGAAGCACCATTACCAACAAATATCGAGCCAATGGGACAATTTAACGAGGGTGTAGAAATCTTACCTTGGTCACCCGTGAGATGATCAGTTGCACCTGAGTCCATGTACCATTGATCATCAATCGGGTCCATGGTCATCGTTTGATGTGCTTCACCAAGCTGAGTTGGTTCGAGAGGATCAAAGGTAGATAGATTGGCTTGGTTCACCGCTGGGCCAGAAGGTCTTGGGCCGGACCTGTGATGTGCAGGTGGGCCGGGAGGCGCGGGACTGGCATAGGAGATCTACCCCATGGGGAGGCCCATCCCGGTTGGTGGGATACGGACATGGTGGAGGGCTCCAATAGGCCCAATTGGGCAGCCGAGTGGGCTGAGTGTTCCATGGCGCATGGGCTGATTGAGGCTGGCCGGAACCACGCCTAGTGGCTGTTGAGGAGGATCCGCTGGAGGAGTTATTGGGCTGCCTATGTCCGGGCCTGTTGTTAGGGCGTCTTCTGTTGACAGGATTGGAAGGATCGGGCTGAGGTTCTGAGGATACGGCAGCCATGGCAGTTGTAGTCATGGTTTCCCGGGCAGTCTGTCGATGATGCGCCAATTCAAACATACTACATGCAGTCTCCCACATGGGAAGACTTTGATTGATATACGAGGCCACGGTATCGTATTCCGCCGGGAGTCCTCTAACAAGCTGAAGAACAAGTCTTTGATCATTAACCGGACAATCCACGTCGTTGAGTTGGCTGCCCAATTCTTTGAGTTTTTGGCAATAGGCTTCAAGCGACGGCATGGATATTAAAGTCAGGTTATTGAATTCATGCTCAAGGGCTGCTGCCCTAGAGCCCTTGTTATTGAGGAAGATGGCTTTGATTCGACA